GTATTCTGATTTAACAACACCACGAAAATCGGTCTACATTATTTAAAGGTTTAACGCACGTCTGAACACGCCGTTCAATGCTGGTTTCTCGATATCTATTGTAACATCAGTCATGTATAAACAAGTCACTACATATCAACACTCAATCGATACACAATGTAACCTATGTTCAGGCGGAGGAAAAACGTTCTGCACATTTGGCAACGAGCCACGAACATAATATCACGGAAGGGAGATAACTCTTCCCGCTTTTTGCATAACCGTAGGTAAGCCAGTCGTTGTTGTATCGTGGTGGTGCAATGCTATTTGGTTATAAATACCGCGAGTCTCTTATTACTGCATTGCGCTGAAGGATAGTCGGGACAGAAGGAGATTGAGCCGAATCCGAGTATTCCCAACGTTCTGAGGAAGGTAGGTCGGTAAAACGGATCAATATACTGCAGCAGGAACAACGCATCTTATGGCTATGCTAATGTCGATCGTTACGGGATTACTTGTTGTACCATAGTTTAACCTTGCAGAGGTCGACTCATTAATTTGGTTTGATTGTCGCAAGACACCGAGGTAGTGTTTTGTGCTCTTTGAATAACTTGCGGAAGAAAATGGTTTTGCGAAAGGGTTCGTGAAACCGAACACGGGTTTGTTTCGGGATTCGATATGCTTGACCGTGGATGATTAGAACGGGATATATTGCACGAAACGGAACGCCTCCCAGTCGCGATCTAACACCAATGGTTTTATGAAATATGAACGCTTCTCCATCTAGTCCGTGTAGATTCGGGTTAGAATTAGTCTTCTGCAGCTAATGCTTGTCGTAACAGGTGACTAACGGGATCGAATGGTCACGCTCGCTGACTTGGTTGACACATGTCATCGTATCCCAGTTGCGTAGATCGATGCTCATGATGTCAATCACTGGATTGTCTGGCCCAGACTCGATTATTTACGGACAGCCGCCACATAGCTGAAATATTGAGGAGTGTGTGACATTAAACTCAGTGTATGAAATAAGGCCCGTCCGACCGACCCAGACGGGCTAGATTTCTGACGGACGATCAAAATTTGCAGCCCGATGGTCTGGTAATTTATTTTAGATATTCCATACATCTGAGTAAATTCACCATCTCTGGTCTGGTTAAATTCCATTTGGGCTGGTAACATTTCTGGTTTATTTCATACATCTCACACTGCTGCATTGACGTCTCGTCTACACATTTCCTATTCGGGTCCTATCAAGTAATGGCATGTCAATGTACGTGAACTGATATCACACACCGGTGTTGTATTTGTGTGTGAGAAGTACATCCGGGTTGGAACAGTATAACTATTCACGTCCTTTATGTGCTTTAGTTGTTCGACTTGTCTGATAAGCTATCACCGATTGCTATTTGGACCGCTTCATGTCAATGTAAAGTTACTTGGCCCTAACATGCACAGTGTGTAATGTCACGCAATCTATCGAATGCCCCGAGTACTGAATTGTTAATTAGAAGGGAAATTTATTGTCGCGTTCAACAGTATAGGCCACATTATGGCGACATTTATGCACGGTTGTTAATGTATTTGTGTGTGCGCGTGCGTACGCGTACGAGTGTGTTTGTACGGACGTACTGCAGGTTACCTATTGTTATCCCACTGAGGTGGCATGCCACAGTCTGTCACAGATACCCCACACAGACAGCATATGTAATGCCGAGCGCCATGCAGCAGGGAAACAATTACCATCGGACGCCTTTCGTATGAGGCGACCAGGATCGAACCCCGAACTTCCCACTCCCAAAACAGACGCCGTGTCCACAATACCACAGAGGCAGTCCGGTAAATTATAGCTGTGTTTCGACCAATCATTGGAGTAATTATGAGCCATTTTCATTTGAACCGAGGGCGGTGGGGTAGCCTAGTGGTTGAAGCATTCGCTCGCCACGCCGAATACCCAGGTTCGATTGCCCACATGGTTACAATGTGTGAAGCACAGCCGTGATATTGCTGGTATGTTGCTAAAAGCGGCGTCAAACTAAACTCACTCACTCACATTTGAACCGTTATGATGATCAGGAGGTCCTGGCAAAAATTTCCTTGTTTCCTGTTTTGTATTTTGATAAGCTCACAGACTGATGATACCACTTATAATTGCTCTTCGACCTCATTTGGTTCTTGACTAAAGCAAGCCTATTTCTAGTCTTCCCCGTCGTGATACTGCTGGAATATTGCTAAAACCATACTCACTCACTCTTGATTAAAGCACCATTCGCTCAGGAATAGTCCAGCTGTGCGACGGCGGTCTGTAAAATTCTGAATCCAAACCAGACAATCCAGTGACTGGCATGATGAGCATTAATCTACGCAGCTGGAATTCTAGGGCTGCGCAATATAACCGGTTTACCGGTAATTACCGATTCAGACATGAAAACGATACGTATTGCGATATGCTGATCGAAAACCGGTATTTTGACATGCATTCGGAAAACTTGGTAACACTCGGAAATCTTCGGATATTTCCGTTTTTTAAATTGTTCCTTTCCTTGTTTCATTTGTGCGAAACATTATTTACATTTATATGGTCATGATTAAATGTTTTCATTAAAGCCTAATCAAGCATTTTGATTTTGTTGTGTTTTTGCTTTACAGATCAAACATTAACTCGATTATAAGTAGTTTTTTTGGTTAAAAATAATTCTTGCAATATATTGCAATACATATCGCAATACATGCTTTCGCATCGCAATATATCACAATACGAAAATTCCCGGCAATACCCACCCCTATGGAATACGATGACACATGTCAACAAAGTCAGCGAACCGGACCACCCGATCCTATTAATCGCCTTTTACGACAAGCATGGGTTACAGAAGACATATTCTCACACTGAATCCCTATTGATGTGAGGGGATTCAGAGAGGGCAAATGAAAGGGTAAACAGATAGCTATTACTAGGGATTAACAGGGTTGGAATGTATACAGTGTGTCCTCAATACTGATCATTGGAAATTCTACTTTAGAACCTGCATTATTTTCATTCGACAGAGACCCGTGAAGGTCCGGGTTAGAACTGATCTTCAGTAACCCATGCTTGTCGTGAGAGGCGACAAACGGGATCGGGTGGTCAGGCTCGCTGACTTGGTTGACGCATGTCATTGGTTCCCAATTGCGTATATTGATGCTCGTGCTCTTCATCACTGGATTGTTTGGTCCAGACTCGATTATTTACAGAATGCCGCCATATAGCTGGAATATTGCTGAGTGCGGCGTCAAACTAAACTCACTCACTCATTCATTCGACAGAAAACAATTGGTCATCGCACCAGGTTAACATTTGATGAAGCATTCGTAAAATACCAACCTCGCACTATATAAAAAAATTAGGTGAATGTTTTCATGTTCAAAGGGAGATAACCACCACTGATCACCCTTTAACATGATTAACATGAAGGGAATTTTATGATGATTTTAAGGGTGTGGCAGGGGTGGGTGTTTCACCCATTTTGAGCTGGGGGCAGCAATTTGTACACACATACGGAAATTATGGGAAGGGGAGGGGGGTAATTGATTTTGTACATGACAAGCATCGAGGATCCATGCCCCCCGAGGAACCAGTGAACAACGTATTTATCTTACCGAACACCTTAATAGTGTTTATCTTACCGAACACCTTAATGTTAATTTTGAATTGTTTGAAGCACGGGTACAAGAAAGACAGATTTAGAATTATCTCCCTTCCATCGATTTGCATTCGCAAAACATCGGTAATTTCCGTACATCATAAGTGATTCAATGTTATTCGAGAAAAGAATTACTACCACGAAGTACAGAATGAGTTGCCATTGACAGCCAGGTACATTGTAAGCTTGTAAGCCGGGTACACTGAAAATAATAGAAAAGCGCTCAGCCAATGAGAAAGCGACATTGATGTGTGAGGTAAGATAAGTTGCTTTATAAACAGGATACATTGCCCATCGTCTTGCATATCTTTATACACCTATCGCCAGAGAAGTTGACCGCATGCCAAATACTCGTCACGGAATTCGTCTCCCACTTACATGATGCGTATATTTGTTTAGTCTAATTTGGAAGCTCATTAGTGACACAGTCTACGACATTTTTATCATCTACGTAAATGATACTTACATCTCTGTTGAATATACTTACACTTACAAACTTCTACGTAGAAGATATTTTCTAGGTGGATGATACCTAGAACTTCTACGTAGAAGATATATAATTTCAAATACCCAGATGATACTTAACTTCTACGAAGAAGATACTTTCATCTACGCAGATGATGTCTTTAACTTCAACGTAGAAGATACTTTCATCTACGTAGATGATACTTAACTTCAACGGAGAAGATATTTCATCTACGTAGATGATATTCTTAACTTCTACGAAGAAGATAATTTCATCTACGCAGATGATAATACTTAACTTCAACGTAGAGAGATAGCCTTTCATCTACGTAGATGATACTTAACTTCAACGGAGAAGATACTTTCATCTACGTAGATGATACTTCACTTCTACGAAGAAGATACTTTCATCTACGTAGATGATACTTAACTTCAACGTAGAAGATACTTTCATCTACGCAGATGATACTTAACTTCAACGTAGAAGATACTTTCATCTACGTAGATGATACTTAACTTCAACGTTGAAGAAACTTTCATCTACGCAGATGATACTTAACTTCAACGTACGCAGATGATACTTAACTTCAACGTAGAAGATACTTTCATCTACGCAGATGATACTTAACTTCAACGTAGAAGATACTGTCATCTACGCAGATGATACTTAACTTCAACGTAGAAGATACTTTCATCTACGTAGATGATACTTAACTTCAACGTAGAAGATACTTCCATCTACGTAGATGTTACTTAACTTCAACGTAGAAGATACTTTCATCTACGTAGATAATACTTAACATGACTGACTCTAGATACGTATTTAAATTGCTCATGACGTAGGTAGGTCATAATGACTCTGTCTGTTGCAGGATGCGGTACGTGGCGGCATACTTGTTGGCGGTACTTGGGGGGAATGAGAATCCTTCCGCCAAGGACATCAAACAGATCCTCAACAGCGTCGGCGTGGATGCCGAGGAAGACCGACTCGCCCTCGTTATCAGCCAGCTGAAGGGGAAGGACGTCGAAGAGGTCATTGCTCAAGGTCAGTTAGAAAGGGTGAAATGTAACACGAATACTACATGCTCTCTCCAGATTCCCGTGGTTTGTGATTGTGAGTGAGTGAGTTTAGTTTTACACCGCTTTTTCACGGCGGTGGACACCAGAAATGGGCGTCGCACGTTGTAGCCATGTGGGGAATCGAACCCTGGTCTTGTTTGTTGTTTAACGTCGCACTCAGCAACAAACCAGGTATACAACGGCGGTCTGTAAGTAATAGAGCCTAAACCAGGCAATCCAATGATCAACATCATGAGCATCGATCTTCGAAATGGGCATACAATGATATATATGAACCAAGTCAACGAGTCTGACCACCCCATTCCGTTAGTCGCCTCTTACGAATGGGTTGCTGAAGACTGATTCTAGCCCGGATCTTCACGAGTATCGTTGCCACTCAATATTAACCAGTGAGAGAATCACTTATGATATTTCATCGAAAAATACAGAATTCAGTGTGAACTTAACCAGTCCAAATCATATGTTACATTTGACCACTTTCTAAATGGTATTGTGTCTTTACATAACAAATCCTAATGTATGTTTTTGCATTTCGTGCAGGCAATGAACGCCTGGCTACTGTAGCATTCGGGGCAGGGCTGGCGTTGCTGCTGACGCTGACAAATCGTCGGTGTCACTGAGGAGAAGGAAGAGAAGAGGTGAGACCCATTATGGCTCCTTGTCTAGAACCGTTGGGGGTGGTGGGGTAGTCTAGTGGTTAAAGCGTTGGCTCGTCACGCCGAAGATCCAGGTTGGAATCCCCACATCGGTACAATGAGTGAAGCCCATTTCTGGTGTCCCCCGCCGTGATATTGCTGGAATATTGCTAAAAGCGGCGTAAAACCAAACTCAGTCAGTCAGTCTATAACCATTGTATGCGTAAGTCAAACGCTGCTTTGAACACAATTACAGTTATATCACAGCGGGGCAGTTGAATTTGAGTGGAAAGCTCCACTGCATGCAGAACGGCAAGTATGTGAGGAAAACCCGTTTGGACATAAAAAATGGCAGACCACGCACAATGAGGAGCTGTGTTTGGAAACTACTATCAGCAGATCCTGGCAGTTATGGGGCGTTGCTCCGCATGAGTTGTTTCCTCTCAGACCACAGTGTCAGAACGTCAATTAGAACAGTTACGGTATTTTTCCATGGTGATGATGTCAGTTCTTCCTATATTTAACCACAGGCAAACTATAGCGCAAATAGGGTTGCGGAACAGAGAGAAAAAAATGACCAGTCTTTTTATATGCGAGCGAAGCGAGCGAAGGTTCGAAAAATATATTTAATGTCAAAACAAAATATCGCCACCACCAAAGGTAGACACCCATTTCCTCACAGGGGTGTGCACTCAAATTTTCAACCTCATATTTAATAATTACTCACGTAACATATATTTTGTTTAACGTTTTAAGCGCCACTCCTGGCATATCAAATCGTTCTTCGCCTCCATTACCCCTGCTGGCTTTCGGTTCAACAGAGTGAAGGAACAGGGGAGATAACTCTAAATATTCTTGTTGAATCCGCCATATTGAAAGTTATCTCTTGCTTTCATTCACTCGTTACATCAGAAGTGAGTGTTTAAGAATAAATGTTACGAAAGGTGTAACAGTAGCGACGGCAGATAAGATAAATAATCTTCAACAGTTTAATGGTAGAATTTGGCAATATGATATTTCTTTTTAATTTCTGCCTATTCTTGTTCCTTCACTCCGTTGAAGAAAGTGCTGTCAGGCACCTAATCGCCAGCACGAAAAGACAGTGATATACCCCACTCAGCAAACCATAGCTTTCAGCGAAAAGACTAGGATAGGTGCGTGACTTTTGAGAGTTTGGGTTCGAATCCTAATGGAATTAACATATGTTACATGTTTCTGGTTCCTGAGTACAAACTGAATTTAATTAGACACTTATATTCATATGTAATTCTATATAAACTCTGTATCAGTGAGACTGACCACACGTTACAACAGTCATGGTTTGCTGAAGACCAATTCTAACCCGGAACTTCACTGGTTCGTATTCATTAGGTAATCGATTGGTCACTTTTCCTTTTCGGAATTGTCATATTTCACCATTTATTTACATTGGATTTTATATGCAAATAATCTGATTTGTTATGTGTCAAATATGGCTGCAGTGTCTAGTCATCGATTCCGATAAAGAAAATGGACAATTTGTTGTGGCCCTTTGGTTTAGTTTCATTTGATTACAGGAGTATGTCTTATTCTTGTTTCCGCAGAAGATAAGCCAGCAGATGATGATTCTGACTCCGACTCTGACGGAGGACTTATCTCCCTTTTCGACTGAACATCACGTGACGTTGTAACCGAGGGTAACAACAGCATCGTCAACAAATATGAACATGGCAACGTGGGCCGACGAGCAGTGTTCACCGCGTGCAGCATACATTGTCCCATGAATGGTGTAGAAGGAATTGTGAAACTGAATTTTCCAAACCAACGACAATTTTAGCCACAACAAAATTGCAGAATCTCTTCGAATTGGTTGAAAAGTTTGATAGAATGATTTTATTCAATTCAGTGAATCAGTTTTGACAGTTTTAGACTGTTTCGTTGAATCCGTCCTCTTGTGACATTACTTGTTTGTGAAGACATAACCGCATAATGGTATGGCATACGTTATATCTTACCGTGTGGTATATCATATTCTTCTCTGCATGTCCCATTCAATGTGAGGTAGAATGTGAAACACGATGTGTTGTAAAACATAGTGTATGTCACTCAGTGTGTCGTATAACATGATATATGATATACAGCATAATATATTACACACAATAGTGTGGTATAACATGATATATTACGCTCAGTAGTATGGTATAACATAACATATTACACTCATTAGTGTGGTATAACATGATATATTACGCTCAGTAGTATGGTATAACATAACATATTACACTCATTAGTGTGGTATAACATGATATATTACACAAAAGTGTGGTATAACATGATATATTACGCTCAGTAGTATGGTATAACATAACATATTACACTCATTAGTGTGGGATAACATGATATATTACACAAAAGTGTGGTATAACATGATACATTACACTCAGTAGTATGGTATAGCATAACATATTACACTCATTAGTGTGGTATAACATGATATATATTACACAATAGTGTGGTATAACATGATATATTACACTCAATAGTATGGTATAACATGACATTACACATAATGGTGTGATATATTATGATATGTTACACACAATAGTGTGGTATAACATGATATATTACAATATTGTGGTAGAACATGATATATTACTCACAATAGTGTGGTAGAACATGACATTGCAGTCAATAGTGTGGTATAACATGACATATTACATTCAGTAGTGTGATATAACATGATGTGTTACATTCAATAGTGTTGTGTAACATGATATATTACTTTCAATAATGTGGTATAACATGATATATTTACACTCAATAGTGTGGTATAACATGACATTACATTCAGTAGTGTGATATAACATGATGTGTTACATTCAATAGTGTGGTGTAACATGATATATTACTTTCAATAGTGTGGTGTAACATGATATATTTACACTCAACAGTGTGGTAAAACATGGGATATTGCACTCATTAGTGGGTTATGACATGATATATTTCATTCGATAATGTGGTATAACATGATATATTACATTCAGTAGTGTGATATAACATAATACGCTCTAATCAAAGTAATGTAAAGCAAGATACACGTTGCCCCAAGTGAGGTTTGTAGTTTCACAAACAACTTTTCATTTCCATGACAACATGACAACATATCAACAAGCTCAACCTCCCGGTCTACTACTCCGTAATGTTTGTTTCTGTATTACAATGTGTCGTAGGTGAATGTATTTTTCATTTTTGTAATGGACACTTCTTGGGCTCTAGCCTGCCTTCATGAACAGTGAGAGTATAAATAGACAGATATATGTTTGTTGTTTGTCACGGGAACACATGATGCTATGAAGATTGATTGATTGTTGTGTAACACCGCACTCAGCAATATACCAGCTATATGGCGGTGGTCTATAAATAATCGAGTCTAGACCAGACAATAACAGCATGAGCATCGTACTACACAATTGGGATACGATGACATGTGTCAACCAAGTCAGCGAGCCTGACCACCTGATCCCGTTAGTCGCCTCTTACGACAAGCATGGGTTACTAAAGACCAGTTCTAAGTCGGATCTTCACGGGTAATGCTATGAAGAAGGAAATTGAGTCTCAGGCCTACCAAGGAAAACCAACAGAGAGCAACCAGACTGTGGAATGTGTACACAGTTTAATAGAGATAACTTCATAAATTACAAACAAGACACGATTATCAGCATGATATATTCATCGGAATGATATTTCAGTGGAGATCACAAAATCCTGTTTACTTCCGTCTGCGTGATTTACTTGTTTGGTTCCTCTGACAGTGCACCAGGTTTACTTCTGTCTGTGTGATTTACTTGTTTGGTTCCTCTGACAGTGCACCAGATTTACTTCTGTCTGTGTGATTTACTTGTTTGGTTCCTCTGACAGTGCACCAGGTTTACTTCTGTCTGCGTGATTTACTTGTTTGGTTCCTCTGACAGTGCACCAGGTTTACTTCTGTCTGTGTGATTTACTTGTTTGGTTCCTCTGACAGTGCACCAGGTTTTACTTCTGTCTGCGTGATTTACTTGTTTGGTTCCTCTGACAGTGCACCAGGTTTACTTCTGTCTGTGTGATTTACTTGTTTGGTTCCTCTGACAGTGCACCAGATTTACTTCTGTCTGTGTGATTTACATGATTGGTCCTCTGACAGAGCACCAGGTTTACTTCTGTGTGATTTACTTCTTTGGTTCCTCTGACAGTGCACCAGGTTTACTTCTGTCTGCGTGATTTACCTGTTTGGTTCCACTGACAGTGTACCAGGTTTACGTCTGTCTGCGTGATTTACTTGTTTGGTTCCTCTGACAGTGCACCAGGTTTACTTCTGTCTGCATGATTTACTTGTTTGGTTCCATTGACAGTGTACCAGATTTACTTCTGTCTGTGTGATTTACTTGTTTGGTTCCATTGACAGTGTACCAGATTTACTTCTGTCTGCGTGATTTACTTGTTTGGTTCCATTGACAGTGCACCAGGTTTACTTCTGTCTGCGTGATTTACTTGTTTGGTTCCATTAACAGTGTACCAGGTTTACTTCTGTCTGCGTGATTTACTTGTTTGGTTCCTCTGACAGTGCACCAGGTTTACTTCTGTCTGCGTGATTTACTTGTTTGGTTCCACTGACAGTGTACCAGGTTTACTTCTGTCTGCGTGATTTACTTGTTTGGTTCCTCTGACAGTGTACCAGGTTTACTTCTGTCTGCGTGATTTACTTGTTTGGTTCCTCCATTGACAGTGTACCAGATTTACTTCTGTCTGCATGATTTACTTGTTTGGTTCCATTGACAGTGCACCAGGTTTACTTCTGTCTACGTGATTCACCTGTTTGGTTCCACTGACCGTGTGCCGGGTTTACCTCTGTCTGCGTGATTTACTTGTTTGGTTCCTCTGACAGTGTACCAGATTTACTTCTGTCTGCGTGATTTACTTGTTTGGTTCCATTGACAGTGTACGAGATTTACTTCTGTCTGCGTGATTTACTTGTTTGGTTCCTCTGACAGTGTACCAGGTTTACTTCTGTCTGCGTGATTTACGTGTTTGGTTCCATTGACAGTGTACGAGATTTACTTCTGTCTGCATGATTTACTTGTTTGGTTCCATTGACAGTGCACCAGGTTTACTTCTGTCTGCGTGATTCACCTGTTTGGTTCCACTGACCGTGTGCCGGGTTTACCTCTGTCTGCGTGATTTACTTGTTTGGTTCCTCTGACAGTGTACCAGATTTACTTCTGTCTGCGTGATTTACTTGTTTGGTTCCATTGACAGTGTACGAGATTTACCTCTGTCTGCGTGATTTACTTGTTTGGTTCCTCTGACAGTGTACCAGATTTACTTCTGTCTGCGTGATTTGTTTGGTTCCATTGACAGTGTACGAGATTTACTTCTGTCTGCATGATTTACTTGTTTGGTTCCTCTGACAGTGCACCAGGTTTACTTCTGTCTGCATGATTTACGTGTTTGGTTCCATTGACAGTGTACTAGATTTACTTCTGTCTGCATGATTTACTTGTTTGGTTCCATTGACAGTGCACCAGGTTTACTTCTGTCTACGTGATTCACCTGTTTGGTTCCTCTTACAGTGTACCAGGTTTACTTCTGTCTGTGTGATTTACCTGTTTGGTTCCTCTGACAGTGTACCAGGTTTACCTCTGTCTGTGTGATTTACCTGTTTGGTTCCTCTGACAGTGTACCAGATTTACTTCTGTCTGTGTGATTTACCTGTTTGGTTCCTCTGACAGTGTACCAGGTTTACCTCTGTCTGTGTGATTTACTTGATTGGTTCCTCTGACAGTGCACCAGGTTTGCTTCTGTCTGCGTGATTTACTTGTTTGGTTCCATTGACAGTGTACGAGATTTACTTCTGTCTGCATGATTTACTTGTTTGGTTCCATTGACAGTGCACCAGGTTTACTTCTGTCTACGTGATTCACCTGTTTGGTTCCACTGACCGTGTGCCGGGTTTACTCTGTCTGCGTGATTTACTTGTTTGGTTCCTCTGACAGTGTACCAGATTTACTTCTGTCTGCGTGATTTACTTGTTTGGTTCCATTGACAGTGTACGAGATTTACTTCTGTCTGCATGATTTACTTGTTTGGTTCCTCTGACAGTGCACCAGGTTTACTTCTGTCTGCATGATTTACGTGTTTGGTTCCATTGACAGTGTACGAGATTTACTTCTGTCTGCATGATTTACTTGTTTGGTTCCATTGACAGTGCACCAGGTTTACTTCTGTCTACGTGATTCACCTGTTTGGTTCCACTGACCGTGTGCCGGGTTTACCTCTGTCTGCGTGATTTACTTGTTTGGTTCCTCTGACAGTGTACCAGATTTACTTCTGTCTGCGTGATTTACTTGTTTGGTTTCCATTGACAGTGTGTACCAGGTTTACCTCTGTCTGCGTGGATTTACTTGTTTGGTTCCTCTGACAGTGTACCAGATTTACTTCTGTCTGCGTGATTTATGTGTTTGGTTCTGATTGAGTGACCAGTGTACTTGAGTCTGCGTTGATTTACTTCTGTCTGCATGACAGTGTACCAGGATGATTTACTTGTTTTAGGTTCCTCTGACAGTGCACCACAGGTTTACTTCTGTCTGCGTGATTTACGTGTTTTGGTTCCATTGACAGTGTACTAGGATTTAC